GGGGCCCCGGCCCTCGCGCTGGGCGGCGGGCGCGGCAGCTGGCCTCGAGAGATCCACGAGCCCAGAGGTTGCAGCCAAAACTGTCGCGATGTGACGAGCAAAGGTTGGGAGGAGCCGCCTCGATCTCAAAGACGAGCTCGGGATGAAAAGGTGTTCTCACGCTCCAGTGTGTAGAGGGCGTCGTGTAGCCCTCCTTTTGGTATAATACAAGGTGCGGTGTGAGTGTGTGTGCGTGTCGTGTGGCTACAGCAAGTGTCCATCCGTCTGTATTATTATTAACCACGAAGGCGCTCTCAAAAAGAAAAATCTTTTTTGATTGCCGAATCAGCATGTCACTCGTCGTCTCTCTGCTCCTCGCTCGGCCGGGCGGCGACTCGGGTGGTGCAGAAGCGCCGCCGCTGCGCGTGCGTGCGCACGAGGCGGCGCTGGAGCACGCCTGCCGTCGCCGCCACGGCCCGACGCCCGGGGCCGTACGTCGAGTCGGACAAACATTTGGCGAGAGCCAACCGAGCATCTTCACCGAGCATCATCGGATCGACCCGCTCTCCTGCAACGAGCCGCGGGAGGGAGACTCGTACGATCCGGCTCGAGCGGCGGCGCGTGGCGCGCACATGCCCTGCTCGCCCGCGGCCGCTGAGGCACACCCGGCGAGAGCTACCTTTGCCCCCTCGGCGTCGTTTGCGAGGCTCGCCTCACCGTCGTGCTGCGGGGGCGGCGGTTGGCTTGGGAGGTGCACGTGGCCGCGCGTGGCGCGGCTGGCCCCTGCACTCGCCCTCATATTTTGTGCTGGCTCGCGCACGCGCCGCGAGAACTCGACGACGAGCGACTGCATTGGCGGGCTTCGTTGTCAAAGGCGGCGGCTCTGCGTGGTCAAAGGCGGCGCTTGCCATCAGCCGCCGTGCACAGCTGTCCCAAACTCTTTCATGCTTTGGGTAGGACACAGGCCTAACTACTCGGGGGACACACGATTCCCGAACGGGTTGTGTCCCCCTTCCTCCTTTAGACCTCTTCCCACCCCTCCCTTCCCCCA